TAATTATGGAGAAAATAAGATCATGTAATTCATTCAAATATCCAAAACGTGTTTTTATTGTCAAGAATGTAAAACTAAAAAATAAAAATCATATTATATAGTTCATCGTTCTCCTAAAACAAATAAATCTAGCCTAACATGTTATAAAGAAGAAAACACAAAAAATATTGAAGAATCGAAATTACTCAATATGATTCTTGAATTTATTCTTGTGCTTTTGGCTTCGTTCTTTGTGTTCTTCCTTGTTCTCTGCTTCAAAAGTTCTTCAAAATATGTTGTAATGTGTCCTCCTTACTTTTGGATGGCCCTAGGCTTTTAAAAGACGCTCCAAGATTCTTTTTCATAAGAGTTGGAATCAAATTAGGAAATAAGAAATTTTTTTCTCGATTTGGCCTGAGCGGGCGCCCAGTAGAAAATGGGGAAACCACCCAGGCATAAAAATGGTTCCTGTTAATTCGGTTGAGGGTCGGGCGGCCGCCCAACAAATATAACTTGGCGGCTGCCCAGTTATAAAACTTTCGCAAATTTTGTTTTCAGTCATTTTCTTCATTCTTTCTTTCATCTTGGTCTTTCACATCAAATTTCTTTAATTTTAGCACTTTAACTTTTACTCAAATGCATATTAGTCCCCAAAATTCCATCAATTGGCCAATTTATCCTTCTTTATTTTCCAATTGCTTAGAAATGTGTCCAAAACTAAAATAAAATAAAATTAACCTAATTGAAGTAAAATACAATAATAAAATGACACAAAAGTTTAGTAATATGGTCCCGAATAAGTGCACAAAAATGCACTTATCACATACCAATCAAACACGGTCTCAGGGTCAGAGTTTAAGTTTAATGATTATTCATTTAACTAAATTCATAAGAAAATACTATAAGTTACTAGTCGACCTACCATAGTAATTTATTTAAGGTAATTTACGCTTTGGGTCCTCAATCATATCACTTTAATTTCAATTTCATCCTCATTAAAATTTATAGCACTTACCATACGTTTTATTAACTCGGGCAGATAGTCACTCTTTTCTCATCTACTAGCAAACGCACGTGCAATGCACGTGTTGCAGTTTAGTTAGGCTATTTAATAGCGTGGATTGATTTTTAGCTATTTTAAACAAAATTTGGACGAAATCTTTGTCTGAAGATTGAACTATAAGTAAGGTAATGTCAACATCCCAAATATTCAAGTAAAGCATATTTCTGCTCTAGGAAACTAAGAGTGCAAGCTATAGAATTTAATCATATCAGGAAAAGACAAAACATATGGAATTGTTCCTCAATAAACAAGCTAAATGGAAACATGAGTAGCCCTTGTAGTGTTTCATATTCAACATATCCTATTTGTCAATCAAACAAAATGAAATTGAACATGAAATGTTTAGCCAAAGGAAGATTGAATAATTTCCTGACAGTTGACAGTACATACAAATGATACAACATGCACAATTACGAAGAACAACAATACCAAACATATGGCACACGATATCATGTTTGTGCTAATGAAGTCTTAATAACTAAGTTGTTTAATAACGCCAATGCTCATTTCTGAAAAAGAAAAGCAGCCAGCTGCAGACCAGAGAGAATGAATGCTTTATTTTGAAGACTGAATAATTGACCTCACCTGCTAAAGAAGATAAAGAATAACATGAAAAGCAAACTATGTCTCATTGTCAATAAATATAGGGATTCATTTACGTTTACTATCACCTAACACAATACAGAACAAAACTTGACAACATAATGGATAAGATTTTAACTTTTTTTCCTTCTATAATAATATAAAGTTATTTAATCATCCCTACTGAACATGTTATAAAGTACCACCATAGTTCATCGCCATTTGAGCGTCAATAATCACCTCAATTAAGGATTTATGCTGCTTACCAACAGAAACTTAACGTAAGAGTAAGATGACTTCAAAGCATTAAAGGAAGATGCACAGAAAGAAGAGTGAAAATTAAGACTGCATATTCTCCCTTTATATAGTCAAGAATGAAGTGCATGTATAATGCCACAGGAAGCTATAGCATAAACTTCTAAAGAAAGGAGAAATTCGCTGACAGATTCTAGAATGTAAGGGGAAAAAAGACTTACCAAGAAGCTTGACTGCATCATCAAATGGCAATTTTTGGTCATCTTGAAGGCAGTGGTAGGTAAAAGAGTTCTTGTACAGATTTTGACAAGCAGTAACCGTCAGCAAATGAATGTAGCTTCATGGAAGTATAGCGACATGAGTATTATGCTACTTCATATCCTCATACAAACTATAGCACCTTTACTCTCTACATTTCAGTGATTTCTTAATCTTCAATATTTTTTTCCTTTTTTCCACTTAAGAAAATTCATTTTTCAATTGTATTGCACTACAGTAGCTGAGTTTTTCAGTTCTTAGAAGATACATGAATACTATGAGGGCACATGACTTTAGCCATTTGGCCTGCTTATAATTTTGTAGTTTTCATAGAAACTGCATCATTGTTGATATTCTCATATAGTCATTCTTCACACTTTTTCCTAAAGGAAGTTCATCAATGTTTAGACAAAGCGGCGTAGGTCACCCACCACACAGCTCTGGAGAAAAAGACCCATACAACTCATTTTTAAATCAATTAAAGCTTCATAATCCAGAAAATCATACCAAAAGTATAAAGAAGAGATAAATCCTAGATTCCCAATGAATTATTAATAATGTTTATAATTTCCATCTTACTTCTTTGGGTCTAGTTTCCTTAACTTCACTTCTTGAGTTTGCATTTAGACGTGCGCATGTCTTTACCATATGTAGTTAGTAGAACTATCCATGATTTTAGGATCTAGGTCTTGTTTACAATCCATTTTCCATAGCTTTTGAAAGTCAGAAGCTGCTTTTGAGATTAAGAAGCTGCTTTGGGCTTGTTTAAATAATTTTCTTGAAGTTTTTTATCTAATTAGAAGAACTTTTGGATGAGCTCTTCTACCAGAAGCAGAAGCTATTCCAAACAGGCCCTTAGTCTCCTCATTTATCATTTCTTACATGCTATATTTAACCTCCCAACTCCCTGCTATGCTCACTGCCCAAATCCTTGAGTGCTTTAATGTTCAGATATGAAGGTAACCCCTAATAGTCCCTGAACTTTCCACTCTCTCCTAGTCAATTCCGAGTACCCATATTATTCCCATGTCTGTCAAAACTAACAACCTTCCCACGTCTTTGTTCTTCTTCTTCAGTAAATCATACATTTTACAATAGAACATAATTTTGATCTTATATTCAAATTATAAAACCATTTCATACGAGATTCAATATCAGCTAGTCAAATAAGAGTACAATACCATGTCCACTCATAGATTGAGATTGATCTCCTAAACCCGAAACAAACATGCCATTCAGAAATGGAAAACATATTCATTTAATAGGAAAACAATATTGGGTTAGAAGAAAATGCATATGAAAGGAAAAAAATATGTTATAATAAGGTGACAGAACAGACCTGCTGCCTAGCTCGTTGGAGCTCTAGCTCAAGTTGTGTGAACTTCATTCTACTGCTCTCTAACTGTTGAACATAAGCCTGAATGTCAAAATATGAAAGAACAAATGAGTACACGATAGTGATACTACTTTTACGTGAGATAGATTAGGTAGGACATAGTGTGCATTCAAGGGCTTTAGAATGTTCAAAAAAGATTCATCAGAAGCAACATACATTACTTTCAACACAGAACACTTATTCATCAGAAGCAACATATCTTTTGCTCAACACAGTCAATAGGTGACATACATTCATGCCAGTGAATTTGGATTATATTATTTTGACTAAGAAGTTATGCTTGATTATATGCCTTTACCACGATCGTAAGAATTTATGCCTGATCATATGCCTTTACCATGATTTATGCTCCACCATATGTCTTTACCAGGATCATGGATGTATGTTAGTTCAACCCTCGCTACAAGGAGATCGAAATTTATAACATGGCTACAATTTAGAATTTGATCCAATAAATTAAGTGAAACAGACTTGTAAAAGGAAGATAGTGGTGGTAAATAAAGTGAATAATGAAGGACCTACTTTTTTTCTCAAACGGCTTTTTCTGGGAGCTTCACGATTTTGAGCAAGCCTACGCAGCATCTGCAAGAGGCAATGCAATCATTTTTTAAACCAAAGGTATATATACATGCAATTTAGGGAAGGTTGAAAACCTTGTGATCGCTGCTATCGGAAGCCACTATACCTTGTGATTGATCGATTTGAAACTGCAGAATAAATGAATTTCAAGATTAATTCACTAATAATCAATACAAGATTATCATTCTAGGAGGAATGTGGGAAATGTGCACAACTGAAAAATGTATACAATCAATTGTATAGCAATTGAAATGTATATGTTGATTTATGTATACAAAATGTGAGAATTGTATGGAAGCATATTAGACATCACCCTCATGTTTTTGTATTCAATGTCGGCATTAGTGGAAGTATTAGTCCTAGGAAGACTGACATCTGCCATTTTGGACACTCCACAATCTCCTGAAAGAATACTTCAAACAAAGATGAGCATTTCCATCTACCCAAATCTATAGGAGAAAATAGAACCTAAGTTGGAGGAGGAAAATATCCAAAGGAATTAAATGACAATCCTTTTCAAAGCACGAAAAAAAATGTAAAAAATGAGTTAAATGGTGAAAGTTTCAATTACCAAAGCCTCGTCAACGGCCACAGATTAGGAAAATTGAGTACAATATTTATAATATGCAACTTAAATAAATAACTCAGATACTCATAGGACAGCAGATAGTTCAGGGAAAAAATAAATTAATAGCAATTAGAAAAGACACAAACTCACGAAGTAGAACAAATAAAGAACAAAGATCAAATTAAGAGAATCAGAGAAAACATGCAAATTTTAAGAGAGATTCATTACTGCCTACTAAATCGACATTCCAAGGATATGACAAGTAAAAGTTCACTCACAAGAAGACTTAACTTTGTTAGCGATGTCTGATCAAAATGGCATCACAGTAACATCCTAACAAGAAAACAACAAAGATTGAGCTTCGTAGTTTACTTAAGGTAAATTAGAACACATTTTGAACTAACATTTATAATAACCAGAACTATTTTTCTTGAAAGAAATGTTGGATAACAACATTGTTACTCAGGGGAAAAAAAAAACTACATTTGATTATCCAGAATTATAGATGCAAACAAAGAATGGGATGAAAGTGTCCAATGAAAATATAGTTGGCGTTCATATTTTACGCTTTCCAGGTTAAATATATCTACTTACATATTGGAGTGTGTTTGTAAAAAACACAATGATTTGTGTAGCAAAATAGTTGTAGGAAGAGACAATTCACTAAAAATTGCAAAGCCTTGAGCATTTGCAGTAAATACATGATATATTAACAAATTTACTACCTTCAGTAAAAATGTATTGCATTGGTGAAGTGGAAATGGAACACTATCTAAAAGAACTCACAGATGAAGTTTACACTCTGGCAAAACTATAATGGAGTACTATACTATAGGATTTTATTTATGCAATAACCTGACCAATTTGGGATTTGGGCACCATACAACAAAACTATTACTTTACATGAATACTTCTGGTAAATAAATGTAAAAATCTTTGCAAATAGTAAGTCAAATCAAGCAAAACCCACTATTAAGAATTCGAATTTTTTTCCCTTTACCAAAATTATAGGACTTCAAAAGGCTCTTGTAATTAATTTCACCTGAATAAACCCCAACTTGTTCTCCGATTTTCCCAAATCGAAGCCCTGGAAACAGATTCTGTACAATAATTCCACAAAATAATCCAATTAAGAAGGCATCAAGTCGTAACTTCTAGAGAAAGTGTGGCAAAAAAAAAATGAATACTTCAGATTAGTATTGACGAAACTGAAACCTCAAAGAATGACATGGGGAGGAATCAAGATGTGAATCGTCTTCTTTTTAGGAGCCTTCTTTTCCATAAAGTGAGTTCCATCAAATCGGTCTTTGTAAATTATATAAAGATGAACACGTTCATATGTGAAGAACATAACTTAATCTTCAGTTTAAAGTGTTAAAGCGATGGATGTTTTATATACCATTATGCCTGATAGACTGATAGGGACACATAGTGCATTTCTTAGTCGACGTCTGTTTTTTTGGCTCAGAGTATTGCCACTTAAGAAGCCTGAAAGGAAATGAAAGTATGTTATTAACATCAAATGAATTCCATATGAAAAATGAAATGAACTTTAAGATATTCTTACCATATTCTGGTAGCTCTTGTAGCTTCATTTCTGCAAGTGTAGCATGATAATCAAATTAAGATGTACATGGACTCATTACTGGAGGGCAAACTTCAAAAGCAAGTAGCTGGATTTCAAAATATAGAGTTGTGTTACCTAGTTTTTCCTTCAAATGCGTCGTTGATTTCTTCTCCAGTAGGTCTTTTTGGAAATGTTGACAAGATTATATATTTCTCCTTCCCAGCAGATACATCCACCCTCTGTATAACTCGTACTCGTACGGGTAAGACATCCTGATATTATAATGCAACTTCTCTTGTGAAGTTCCAACATAGAAAATTATTCCATAATAGTTTCCAAAAGTTATTGGCATCCCCTCAGCATTGATACTCTACATCTTTACTTATATTTAATCTATTATCTTTATATCCCCACATAAAGCCACAGTTCGTGAGAACTTAAGCACTTGATATACTACTTTAGAGAACAATGTAAAATGAAAAAATGAGAAGAATTTAATAATGTGTGTCGTTCCAAAAATATAGCTCATAGCTTCAATACTAATTATAAACCATAAAACATTGCATACACCTGGAGAAGAGGGGAGGAAATTACTTATAAATTGGTTATGAAAGAAATGGTAGCAGTATAAATTACTAATAATCTCACCTGAGAGCCCTCATGATAGGATATTGTGTTCCCGCATAATAGAGAAGCCAGAAGCAGTATCATATTTCAAATGAAGCAACATATTGTAATCTCTTCTCTCGACCCATTGTCTTGCAGAAAAATCACAAATCAAAAGCTCACCAAATAGATGCTGCGATTATGCAATTACTGTGCCTGATCGGTCAGTACTTACTTGCATGATGTCACTTGAACCTGGTAAATCCTAACAATTTTCAATACGAAAAATAATCAGTGATTTTGAAGACAATCCTCATAAAGATAACCAGGAAAATGGAAGTGTAGTACATAGATACTTTCATTATTTCAAGTGGAAGGATACCTGATTTTAATAGAATCCTCCAGTATATCTATCAAAATTGGTGAAACTAATACTTTGGTACACAAAACTGATAAAAAGCTTGGTACTACTGCTAATTTACTATTACCTACCTATGGGGATTCTCTTATCAGGGTGTCATATTTGTTATACCACTACATATTCAAATTATGAGCTTATATTGACACTCGGATAAAATTCTATCTATGAAAAAGAGGAACGGTCTAGAAGAGTTCAAGCTTGAACTTGTTTGTGCAGGTCAAATATCTATCATTCAACAAGTTCTAGTATTTTAGTAAAATTTTCAAAAAGCTGAACACATTGGTTTCCAGGCAAGCTTCCAACTCAAGCATAGAATTTTCAAAAAAGAAATCATACAGCTTAAAACTTTATTTATTTTACGTATGTTAGTAATGGAAAAATAAATAAATTGACTTTCAAACAAACCAAAACCTATCATTCAAAGCAGAATGAGCACAACATGGAATTTTAATTTTTCACATCCAAATAGAATCAACAGTCAATATTTTGATGTTCACGAGACCTCAATCTACATTTGCAAAGAAATTTTAATAATAATAAAAAAATTACCTGTATCCAATATCCGTAAAATTCATCCACATCTGTAGAAAATCAAAAGACTACACAATCCAGCTCAAATACATTATCAATTAAAATAAATATTTAAAAATACACGTGATTATGAATATGAACAAATTGTACATGGAGAGGACCATATGTTAAGCCACGACAAATGTTTCTACTTCTCTCTAATAGAAGAGATTTACCTTTAGCTACTAAAGCATTCGGCTGTTTACTCTCTTCACGGTCGCTACCACTGTCCTCATCTGAAAATCTTATCACAAATGGCACGAACAGCCCTCGGTTTTTTTTTCAAAACTCTTGTGATGGCTAGAATGCAAAGTGGCTCTTGTAGGTAAATCAACTAAATCTCCAGATTTGGTAGAAGGAACCAGCGTTCCTGGGAAGTACATAAAAAGTATAAAAGTGGGAACTCAGTAACATTTGTTGTTTTAAACAAGGAAAAAATAAATAAAAACAATAAAGAAGATAGAGTAATAATAAGACTGAAATGTAAAAAGGATGATATACCCCTTAAAATAACTATTGTTTCTCTATACAACAAATTAAAACTTATTCCTCTACCCTACTAACTTTGGGTTAGCTACTTGTACTCATATTCCCCACTCCATTTGATCATCACTTGATCTCCTAAAAACCAGGCATAATCCAATTCTTAACAACTGCATCAGGTCATTTTAATTCTGCCTACCTCTCTCTTCTAGTATGTTCAAGTGGGATCACGTTAATCTTATCAATGGAAGCTCCTTTAGGTCTCAAAAGCATACTTCAAACACCTAAGCCATAACTTCTCTGAATTTATCTTGAGTCGATAACTTCTCCATTCGCAGGCTATATTATCCATTATATTTTGGCCATGTATCCACCTTAATATCCAAAATCTCATGCATTTATTTTATAGAAATTTCTTTTGAAGGCCAACTTTCAATACAATAACATAGAGGTGGTCTAATAACCATCCTGCAAAGCATGCAATTGAACATTATATGTATACTCCTGTCACATAGAATTTTATAGCAGTTCTTCATTTCATCAGCCCACTCCAATCAAATGCTTTAAAAACATTTTCAAGACCATCTTTCTCTAATAATCGAACCTAAATAGCTAAAAATTAAAATAGTTGCTCTTTGGAACAGCATGATCATCTCCAGTGACTCCATTATAATAGTTCTTGTGATGATCAGAATATAAAGATGAACGCTAGGAAAAAAAAAACCTCCGTGCAGCACGGAGACACGGTACGCAGACACGGGGCACCGTGTCTGCGTCGTGTGGGGACACAGTGTGCTGCCCCGTGTCTGCGTCGTGTGGGGACACAGTGTGCCCGTGTCCGGACACCGCCCAGACACGATGTCTCCGTGCTGCATGAAGTTTTTTTTTTCCTAACTATAAATAAAGCTAATCTATACAAACCCAATTGAGTCAAAATCATAAAGAATCAATTTTTTTCCTTGATTATCCTAATCACAAAACTATAGAATTACCTTGTCAGAGCCAATAAACCCGGTTATTACCTCGGCCGGACACGACCATCAGCATTTAAAGTAGCAGCGACTGAGGAATTCAATTCTCAGGTGATGTAATCAGCTGCTGTAGAAAAGAACTTTCTGCAATGATCTCGGTAAAGGAAATAAAGGAGCAAATGTTAATCTTTCTGCAACAGCATCATAGTGGATTGATGAATGATGGGGAGAGGTATGGATGCGTGTGACAAGGTTTCCGGAACTCAGATGTCCAAGATGGCTGGAGAAGAAGCCAAAGGGAAGCTCAAACGTTTCGGGCAGCTGCTCTCGATCCTCGTCCCTTCGCCTGCTTCGGCTTGAGGTTTTATTGCCGGATTTTGAGAAGGAAAATTGAGGGTTTGGGGAATGAATGGTTTGGGGAATGAAAGGAAAACAGGCTAATGAAAAGAAATGGGAAATGGTTGACGATGGGAAACTTCAACACGTGGCCAAAAAAACTGGCTCTTTTAGTATAGTTAGGATTAGGATTAGGAAATCTTCGATTAATGTCACGTGAAAGGACGATTATATCCCTTAAATTAAATAAACTAAAAAAGTTAAAAATAAAAATAAAATAGGAAAGAAAAGAAAAGGTATTATAATAAAATGAAAAGTAAAAATAAAAAGAGTAGAATTGTCATTTCACAAGTTATTAATAGAAAAAATTGGACAAAGATGACCATTTGTGCGAAATAATGAAACCTTCATGAGAACGAAATTGAGACAAACTATAAAAGTTGACAACTCGTACCTTTTTTTCAAACAAAATTATCCAATGTTTGGTTTTGTTTAAAATAATTTTTTTAGTAGATTTTGACAAAAAAAAAATGATGAAATGTATGATTAAATTTATGAATTTCATGAAATGCAAGATTAAAATTAATTGTCGATTTTAATTTAAATTTTTATTAACCTTTTAAACTAACCAATCAGGGACTCAGTGCTCTTTCTTTGCCTGTATATAGGGATTAATTATTTTTCTCACGTTTTAACTTGGCTCTTAGTGTATATTAAAATTCGATTAGAATATCAAATTAAAGTCAGTAATTAATTTTAATCACACATTTCATTAATATTTATTAAATTTACTAAAAATCTGATTTTAATCAACATCGAACAGGGACTAGACGTGTTCGCTCCTTTTGAATCAATCAATCTTGACTAATTCGTCTATAACGATGTTTTGGAAGTCACCGTCAGTCAAATACTTTTTCAAGGCACACATATTTATTCAAGATTTACGAACTTTGGGTCGAATTTTCTTTATGATTTTTCTTGTACATTAATTTTTTGAATTAACCACCAGAAACGTTTTCCTTTCTTTCTTTCCTTTATTTTTTTATTTTACATGTTAGTGCTTGTTTTTCAGTGCTTTTAAGTTTTAAATGCCAATAAGCTATGAATTCTACTAAATTTGTTCCTGTTTGGTTTGGATAAAAATCAAAATTTTAGTTGATTTTAACAAAAACTAAAAAAATGAGTAGTTGTAGGTTCCATAAAATGTGTGGTTAAAAATGAATTTGAGGAAAAATAAGTTTTGAGAAAATGAGGCCAAACAGGGACTGTGTATAGTAAGTGAATCGTAAATTAAAAATTCTATAAAATGTGTAGAGAAAAAGTATATTTCATATCTAACGAAAAACTTAAAATGGACCATGATAAAGACTATTCCAACCTCACCTCTTTCGTTATAAGGATATGAAACTAGATTACTAGAATCGTTTGAACCTAGCTATGTCAATGAGTCGAGTTGGAAAAAAGCTCGGGCTCGGCTCGAACTTTTTTGGGCCTGAGATGAGACGAGCAAAGTTCGGCCAAAAAATGAGGCTTGGCCAGAGCTTTCGGGCCGGGCCGGGCGATTCAAAAAATTTTTTATTGTCAAATCTACATTTTTACTTAAAAAATGTAAAATTTGTACGATTTATATGTACCATAAATTAAATAAAAAAGCTCGGATTCGGCTCAAGTTTTTTGGGTCCCGAGCCGAGCAGAACAAAGCCTGGCAAAAAAAATGAGGCTCGGCCCGACCGGGCCTGACTCGAACTTTTTTCAAGCCTCCCGAGCTGGCGAGGTTTTTTGCGATCTCAATTTGAGCCTAAGGTCCAACTTTTGTTCTTTTTGATGTTGTTTTTTATGCCTATAGAAATCATTCAAAGAAAAAACAATTTTAGCATAAGGATCGAAACCATATTCGTAGGCCAAGGCCGACAAAGATAAGTCGAGCTGTGGAGTGATAGCAAATCTACAACAAATCACTATATTCTAGCTGACACAACACCTCAACATGTTCAACAAAGACCCGACTTTTGGATTTGCTATGAATTATTGTAACTCCGGACAAATTATATAGTCAGTAGATCACTTTCTGATGCAGATATTCACCATGAAGGTGCAACTGCAGAGCGTACTTATATTTCTACTCAGATCCTACTCCATATCACTCAAATTTATAATTATTATATGCCTTCAGAAACTAAGTAGGAATTGGAAAGGTTTAGAAGAACATAATAGACTAAAATTCATACAAACTGTAGATCTAAGGCCAAATCCGCTAATTAAGGAAAATCGAAAGCATTCCCAGGATAAATTTTATCCCCTTTTCAATAATTCAAACTTTTAAATGAAATTATTTTTTAGTCGTGTAAATTACCATTCCCTCCTTTTAATAATAGACACAAATCTCCTTTTGTAAATTTCCTCATCTGATTGCCACTGTGTGGTTAGGAGATGTGGATTCGAATCTATGTTATTTAACAAAAAAATTATCCCTTTGTCCATACTTCTCATAGTTTAACGTTTATAACACAATACTCATTGCTACATATAGAACGATAAAAGTCGAGAGAAAAATACAAATTTTACTACATCGGCTAATCAAGAAAGTAGCTAATTTTGCTACATTTTGGTGAAGGGTGAATGGACATAAATATTATTAGAAAGATATACAAAAATGACAAACCCAAACGGCAAAACATCTTGAATTTGTCAAGTAAACATTATACAACATAAAAAATAAACATTTTATTAATTTAGATCGAACGTTACATAGGACGGAGTTCAACTATCTATAAGCATTCATGCAAATATACACACGCTAACAACGTTAAAGTAAAGAAGAATTTTGGACTCAGGAAATCTTATTTGAAAAAACACAAAATTTGTTGATTTAGTTCATGCAAAAATTTGAATGACGTGGTATATTCGTGGCCAAAACAAAAGGTTTTATGTGAGATTTCGTCTATTTTTAACGTCAACTCAAGCAGATACCATCAGTTGCATTAATGACGTCTAAACAAGTGATTGAATTTAAAATAAAATTAAAGTTTGATGGTTTGATTGAAACTTTTAAAAATTGAGTGACCCAATTGAAACTTCAGTCTTATTGATAATCTCGTTTAAAATCAATTATTAGGAAATATTCAGAAAAAAAATTTAAAGATTACATGAAAATAATATATATATTTAGAAATATATTGTGCCTTGAATAGGTACTAATCATAGAAGTAGTGGCCATCGTAATTTGCCTTAGCCAAATGGCAATGGTCATAATCCAATTGCCACGTGGGACAATTCTATTTATATTCGATCACGTGATAAGCTAGTTTGGACTATATATATACACGGAATTGATCTCGTAAGCATCGATGCTCAATTTATACAAAGTGTTAGGTGACTTGACACACTATAAGATGTGAAGTATATGTAATATCTTCACTGAATTAAGATTTTAAATGGTTCACGTATATTTTTTATTTAGGCTCTGTGTGGGAGAGATTTAGATTTTTCTACAGTAAATCAATTCTCATTTTCAACCACACATTCTTCAATAAAATAATATTTTCCATTACATTAATAATTTTTTTTTTCTTTTTCAACCACATATTTCCCGTCATATGACTATTCAAAATCAATTCTTCCTCCAAAAATCCATCTCAAACAAGCTCTTAATCTTGGTCAAATTTATCGTGAAATCATTTTGTCGAAAAGAGAAGGGAATACCAAATTGATCTTTGACCATGCTTAGCAGCCAGATAGCCAAATATGTGCATGCACTGAATTTAACCGAAGTCGGGTTCAATCGAATCAATCCCACTTTCAATTATTGGAAAAAAAAAAAAAAACGT